TAGTGGTTAAAGCGTTGGCTCGTCACGCCGAAGACCCGGGTTCGAATCCCCACATTGGTACAATGAGTGATGCCCATTTCTGGTGTCCCCCGCCGTGATATTGATGGAATATGGCTAAAAGCGGCGTAAAACCACACTCAGTCAGTCAGTCTAACTGGAAATAGATATGTAGTATTACATGTCATTTACGTTAAACAGACTACCAGGAAAACCAATTTATATTCTAAAATGCAAACTTAAGGTCCAAAATACAACTTAAATACACAAATACATCGTCATCAAATAACCATTACTTGTTTGCTGCATATCTAGCCACCATCAAACATGGGTGTGTACTTTCTTTTGTCCGTCAGTATATGTACACTTGATCGATGTTTCTGTACCTACAGTAGTACACACTGCATTGAATAGGCACCTGTCGGTGTTGTTACTTCGCTTTAATGCTGATAAAACGGGTGAGTTTAATATGCGTGGCACATTGACGAGCTAATTTACATACACTTTAATTATTCAAAGTATTGATTAGAGAATACATTGTGAGCGTGGGACAACATATTCGATGCTATTGCTCGCGAGTCTCAATCCATAATCTAGCGAGATCGTCAATAATGCTGAATACAGCCCAGAGTGATTTGCTGTACACTGATTCACATATCTCAGTACCACCCGAAACTTACAATCATGGCTCAAGTGAACGTCTTAAAATCCAATGCCTATTACTTACTGGCGGTAAATAGTTGCACAAATTTGGCGGTCAATACATGCACAACCATCATCGTTGTTACTAGGGTATCAATCGCCATCTCGAATATCCTAATCCAGGGAATAATCCTTTATTACAAAATAAGAAATATATAGTGTTTATGAAATATGAGAGTTGTTGTGTCGGTAGGTGTTGCGGACCGTATTCCCGTTATGTGGCGGCGTATCACCCTGATGGGTGAGTAAAGAATGACAGGCAGGGGACAATCGAATCAGGAATGGGTATGGTTTTAATAAACCAAAGATCGTAACCGGGGCAATTCTGAGATTCAAACCAGATCCAGTGACACCATGACTTAGTCCTCTTGACCAACCTACCCATCGTATCAAAGCAGAGGGGTGGGGTAGCCTAGTGGTTAAAGCGTTCACTTGTCACGCAGAAGGCCCTGGTTCGAATCCCACATGGGCACAATGTGTGAAGCCAATTTCTGGTACCCCCTGCCGTGATATTGCTGGAATATTGCTAAAAGCGGCGTAAAACGAATTACGATTTCCGAAAGTAATCTGGATTTTTATAGCCAGACAGTGCATGCTCCTTGCTGCACAATTTCAACTGGAATGTGATTTCTGTTTTATCCGTGTAAGAAATCTCATCAAAATCAACATTTTCAGGTAAAGCCGATGTTTTTACTTGTGCAATTGTGTATAATCATGTTACGAACACTTTTGTTACATATTTTGACGATTGTTTGAACACAATAGGTAATTAATAGATTTTTTTAAAATACAAAATGCCTATGCGTTTCTTTTTTGGGATAGTATATATACCGAAATTATAATATCTCTAAATTTGATTTAAATTAGAAAATTTAGAGCTATTATAATTTCGTTATATACCTCAGATTTTCCAACACAGTATGTTTATCTCCTAATTATTGTATTGTGACACATATTTCGCTAATATGCATAACGACAATTTATAAGCCGGGGTTTTCTTTGAAAAAAAGATGGCATAACGAGAAGTAGATATACACATGACTCAACCATGTGGTCGTTGCCCATACTGACTCTTTCACTCGCAATGCAACCACCGGATTCATGTTTGCTCGACTTTGAACGTTATAGTGGTGTTTGCATCTCACTGGACTCTGTCTGAAAAGCCTATTGTTGAGGCTCGTCGACGTGATGTTGCAACAAAGCCGAGAAGTGATACAGTTTTCTTTTTTGTAATTGCACTTATTTGATCATGTCGAGAGTACTGCAGTTACAGGCTGTATGACGATCCCATCTCATGTTATATGTATGTCGTTAACAAAAGATCAGAGTTGTTATTGTGAGCTGTTCTCACACCTCGTTAGCACGACTACTTCTTGTGAGACTCATCTAAGTCGATATCTTCTCCGACAGATCACATGAAATGTTGATAGTGTTTCGTGCCAAGCTGTTAAATCAGATCATCAATTAGGGTTCGATTTCAAATAAATATGTATTTTAATTATTGAGAATATCACGAGTCGGCCCTCAATGGGAACGACGTATGGATTTACGACAATAAATTCGTGCGTAGGGAGGTGATCTTCTGTTCAGGATTTAGGTTGAAGAAGTCGGAGGCTGGCTATAACCAGGAGCTATTGTTCACGTCATGATAAATAGTTAACACCTTTGTGTATACTTAACAACGTCATATATACTTAACGACCACTTCCTGTATACCTGAATATACTGAATGACAACTATATGTATAGTTAGGGAGAAATACGTAACGACAACTTCCTGTATGCTAACGACAATTTACATAGCGGCAAATGCTTAACGACAACTTCTTATATACATAACAACTTCCTGCATGCTAAACGACAATCTGCTCAGCCTCAAATACTTAACACTAGCTTCTTACATACTTAACGAAAAATACTTCACGGCAACTTCCTGTATACTAAACGGCAATCTACTTAGCGACAAATACTTAACGACAAGCTCTTATATACTTAACGACAAACACTTAACGACAAGTTCTTATATACTTAACGACAAATACTTAATGACAAGTTCTTATATACTTAACAACAAGTTCTTATATACTTAACGACAAATACTTAATGACAAGTTCTTATATACTTAACGACAAGTTCTTATGTACTTAACAACAAATACTTAATAATAACTTAATAATTGTACCCAAAAGGCCACAATTGAGGAGATATATTTTACTTCCAAAACCTAACGACAACTATTCCTAACAACAGCTTCTGAGGAGCGCGACTTACTTGACGACAATAACTTAGCAACAGCTGTTTAACTCGAACCCCTCAACGACGATTATATAATGACCAAATATAGCATATTTTAAGAAAGCATTGGACGTCTGAAGCAGATATTATTTGCACATAATCGACAGTCTTCCGGCAGTAAGCTACATTCAGTTTTACTCGTTGATTAACTAACATTATACCCGAAGTTCGGTTGACTGGTAGCACTTGACAAAAAGTAATATCTTTGTGGGTTGAACGAATAAACATATATATTACATTTCCTCTGTTATAATATTTTTTAAATAAAATAAGTATGCTCGGCTGACCAATGCAGGCAGGGTTGGTCGGTGATTTCAACTTCTGTAAATGGCATTCTTCGAATTCGACGTTTCGATACAGATATCAGCCTGAAGAAGTTAAACATCCATCTGTAAAGCGTCCTGCTACCCCAGCGTCTAAGAATCACTTTACCACACTCGACTACCCTACATTAAAGTCAGTGCCTCCTTTACCACAAACCCGCCACATGAATGTACCTATTGGTCCATACTGTCCCGGACTGTTGTCCTGTATAGATCACAATTAGAGTTTCTTATTAACTTCAGCTGCCTGGTCCGGGATGTACAATGGAGATGTCGTCAGTTGCATTTATCAATTTTGCTGAGTCAAATGCAAAAGAGATGTTAGGGCAAGACATTTTAAACTGCCCTCACCCTATACACCACCTCTTTGTGTTGCAGAAAGAGTTTAAGTTGAAGCTGCGGAATCTCAGCACTTGTACCCAGCAGGTGTCCTTCAGAACCCGACACTTATTCTCTGGCGCTGACGTCTTACATGATTATTATCATGGACATGGTTTTGTTGCTTTTATTTAATAAATAAATGACAACAGAATTGGTTCTAGAAAGAAAAGGAAACAAATGTGTCCTCATGTTTTGTTACCAAACCTAATTGTTTGCTTTTTGTTCTTAAAGAACAGTGGTTATGAGCAGTGTTTGCCCTTAACCCTGAAAAGCTGCAGGCCCTAAGGACCCAGAACCATAAAAAGTTGTGGGTCCTGATGAGAATGTGTAGGCCCTATATTTTAGTATGAAAATAGCACTCGTAATTATTGGGGATGAAAACGCTGTCGGCCATAAGGACCTGCAGAAAACAAAAACTGTGGGTCCGAGTGGTTTTCAGTCGGCTTCGGGCCAAGGGACCGACGCTCATTTCGAACGCTGGTTGTGAAGGAAAAAAACATGTGTCATTGTCTCATCAATCCACTTTCACTGGTAACACGTAGTGAAGGGAAACGGATACTATCTAAAAAAATCCAGACTCAGGTGAAATATTAAAAGCTCTGTTCCTTAAAAGCACTGGGCCCCACCATCTACAAAAGAAACGAAACAAGTTCATTGTTTCCTTACTTTTGTAGACGTTGGGGGGGCCAGTGGTTAAATCGTTCCCTTGTCACGCCGCACACCATGTTCGATTTCCCACATGGGTAAATTGTGTGAATTCCCCCCATAATATTGCTTAATTGCTGATATTGGGAAAAAACTACACACACACTTGTTTTTTGTTTGGTGTAAAGTATTAATGATTTTACACTTAAATAAATATTTAATCCTGCGCTACCTTATAATACCCTGTCCTTGTGTTCAGTGGTCTATCCCTGAATAGGTTATGTGCAATGGCAAAGTAAACACACCCCACACATTTTTAATGTTAAGTAGATTGCGGTATTATCAAACCGAATCGCATTTGTCAGTTAATTTGACGGATCTTAAACTTTGCTAATTATCATTAATATGTAGTCATGTAAGCACGTGCGTGCACGTGGTGCGTGTGTTTAGATCAGCGTTGGTGTGACATCCTGTCCCCACACGACCACACCCGACCAATTTTATCACATTTTTTCTGATTATTATCACAGGTATGGATCGATCGCAGACCATTTTCTTTTCATAGTTCTGACACGGCATTGATCTTAAATGAAATTGATGGACACATTCATTACATTGTTACGAATGGCGTCATCGTTTAATAAAATAGCACAAAAGATGACTCATTTAAAGATTTAATAGCAAAAAATAAAGAATGAGAAATTGGTACATTCATGATGGCGATAGGTCCAGACAGCATCAAGCTTCGGAAACGTCACCGATATGCATCGTGGCATACAGCGGTTCACCATCAGTCAACATTGTCAGTAATCTCGACGGAACCTACATCTAACACTGTTTAGCACTTGTGAATGAAGCTAACTCCCAAAACCGTCAAAGAACACTCGATTGTTACATATTTCTACAACATATCCACGACTTGATTAACCCTGAAATATGAAAGAATTGGATGTTCCTTAACCTCTTTTGAGTGGTATATGTTTGCATATGTCTCTATTCTTTACCACTCTGGGACTCACTGTGTGCCCCATCACTCATCCGTGGTTTCATATCTGATTCCTTCTGTGATAGAAGCTTGATTTGACCTTTCCTGACGGCTGTGATCACAGAGAGACCACTGTCGGAGGGCTGTCGCAGAGGTCGGCACTTATGTGTATGTAGGTCGCCCTGTTTTGAAAAGGTCAAACCACACTCGAAGCACTTGTACGGCGTTACAAAGATCCGTCGCCTCGACGACAACAGGGAGGACTTGTAAGAAGTGTTTTTATTTTTTTCTGGAGAAAAGCTGAACACCTCAGTCTTCATGTTCTCAACGTCAGAGTCTTGCTTTATCACAGTATGAGACTGATAACTTGTTTCCTTACTCACTTCCTGGACTTCTTTGCAATAGTTTGGTAAATCTACATCCATTACATCCTCATCCTGCATGGCGTTATTTGCAGCATCCTGTGAACTAAAGGGTGATACTTCCGGTGGGTGTTTTCTCCTCGGGGTGATTGATGACGTGCCTCTGTGTGTGTGTTTAATTCTATTGGGCAACAACACAAATCGATTGATCGTCTTTTCACGATGCCCACCAAATTTCGGATAGTATTGAGATACTGTCTGTTTCTCTAACGGTAGCGGGGAAAGAATTGGGTATGCTTCCCTTGTGCTGGTGCAAACGGGTCGGCGAAGATGAACCTTTTGGTGTCTCTCCAAGTTGCTCTTGTGGCTGGTGGCGTAGCCACATAGGTCACAGGAGAAGTCCTTCCTCCCGCTGTGGACTGTAAGATGGCGACGGAGAAGAGCTTTTCGACAGAAGTTCCTGGAACATATTTGGCACCTATAGCCGCCGCGGTGGAAGAGTCCCACGTGGTCTCTGAGAGCAGCTTTACTATGGAACATCACACCGCAGCATTCTAGAGTCTTGGAACATTCCTGATGCATGGTAACAATGTGGCGCTTCAAATTGTTCTTTCTGTCGGTAAAGTACAAACATTGAGGACACTTGAAAGCTTTTTTGTCAGTGAAACCATCCTTATCCATCTGGGATCCATCCACGGCAGCACTATCTCCATCTTCACTGGACATGACAACCTGGGATTTTTCAGAAGATGGGGAGATGCACGACCCAGCCTCACTACTGTCAGGAGATACCACCATGTCCATCTTCATAGAGGAACCAGAGGAAGGAAGGAAGGTGGAGACGTGGAGGTCCGAGTCTCGACCCACACGGTAGTCGGGTCGCCGCAGCAGAGGTTCTGACCTACCCATCAGAGGGGAACAGAGGAGATTGGGTGGGGACCGGGCTAGGTGGGATGGGGATCTTGTCAGGTGGGGAGGGGACCTGGTAAGGTGAGGTGGGGACCGGGCTAGGTGGGGTGGGGACCGCACGATTGGAGGTGGGGAGCGGCCGAGGAAGCCCCGATAGTTGTTTCCCTGTTCCATCATGGACACCATCATCCTGTGGTAGGCATTTGTTGGGAACGATGCTCCAAAAGGGGTGAAGTCTGGCACTATCATGACTTTGTGTAGAAGCAGCTACTCACTCTTGGAACTGCATATCTTTATAGTGGTTGACGGATATTGTTTTCTGAAATATAATAACAAAACCATTATGAAAAACATACAAATATTTAAAACCTTGCCATATAAGGAAGGGGAGGAAATCAAAATTAAATCCCTTGGCATTGTAGAAGTTGCTTACTACATGCGAAACGTACCATTGTGTGGCTAACAGCTGGTTTACTGCACATAGTTTAAGAATCTACATCGATACGTCGCCATATTCAGTGAGCCAGAAGTAGTTATCCGTAAACTTGTTCGTTTTCTTTTATATCAAAGTAAACATGATGTAATAAAGATATTAGAAACTATAAAACACAACCTTATGACATAATTAAACCGTAATTAATTGAATTTAAATGCATGGGGATATCGTTGAATTTTGATTAAATCAAACCAAAATGACACTCACCTACCAAAATGGCAATTTCATCAGAACTATTCCTTTTTTTATTTGTCGATTGCTATTTATTAATATTTAAAAAGTTTAAATAAGTTCAGCTTTAGGTAGGAAGTACAAAAATCAAAAAAACAACTAATTACAGGAAACTGCTTAACATGTATTTTCAAAGTTCTAACCTTGAGGTAATTTGAAAAAAATATCAGTTAAAATTTCAACAATGATTTTCCTGTTAATTGAATGCTCTCAGTATGGGATCAGCTCATTCAAATCTGTTTTGGCGGGTCCATCTGCCGCAATGCTTCACAAAACATCCCCCGTACTGACATGTGATATCATTGATCGAAACCATTGCAGGAATCAAGGTGAAGAACACAGACATATACTGCAGAACGTACAACTGTATACCCCATACATTCTTCAGTAAATGTTCTAGACCAAATCTATCCTTAAATTAGCACAAAATTCTAAATTTTGTTTAATGGAGTAACATTATAGTAAATGGTTTTTAAAGTGCTCACCTTGCTGTGTTTTGATCCAGGTACCTTGGTGATCACGTTGGTTGAATGTTTCAAACTGTGATGTTGTATGTTGTAGATTCAGGCGTTGTCAGTCGTGGTTGCATATGTCGTCGGAGATTGTCTGACCCTTTCTGAGTATCGCCCTCGGAGAAATCACATTTACCATCAACCAGTGTGTACACATGTGTCACGTGATCGAGTCGCTCGACCAATGAATTTCTGTTTGCACCTGGCACAGCGATTTTATGAATGAAAATTGTAGCCGGGTACTCAATTTAGGCTTGAGAGGCCCATTCATAAGTTTGTGAATGAGAGCAGTTATCGTGAGAGCGGGTGTATCGCGGCGCGTGCTCCGCTTGGCTGCACGCGCATATGACGTATCGCACGAGACTACCTCTCCGTTCTGCTCCGTTGAGAAATACGACCAGAAGCTTATGGGCTGGGCGTTGTAAAAGTGACTGCCGTTCAGCCAACTTCATTGTCAGAATCTATTGTCCTCCGTCCAGATGAACACTCGTAGTTCTTCAGTGGGTGGTGTCACTCCGATATAGCGGAGAGCGCTCATCCAATTGTCACCGCCATTAAACACCTGTGTTTAAATATTTCATTGCGCATATTGTGTGTGACCACTATGTGACAAGAGAAATAAAGAGGATGACGTTTGAGACGCGTGCACGGATTTCACCGGCGTGTCATTCGCTGTTGATCTTATGAAATATTTAGTAACATTTGTTACAATTCGCCATGTGGTTCGCCCTCACTACCGTGATGACACGTGAAAACGGTAAACCCGTGAACCATCTGACTGTTGGATGGAGAGACGTTACCCACATGGAACAGACAGTTTATATAGACATTGTTGTCATTACTAATTCGGGATCAGTTTTGACACCTTTGTAGCAGTTTGTGTTCTATTGGCCAAGGTTGCGGTATCGATGGTAGTTGACAGTGGGTGAAGCATCTGGAAGTCCTTACAATCAGACATGTCGCTGATTGTCGTTTTATCGAAATGTTTTGAAACAGGTTTTAGATGATAAGACGCGAAATGTCAAATGTATTATTTACATATTTAGTTAAAGTGTGTCGGTGGTTACGTGGAACAACGGTAAAACTGTGGAGACATATGGCTAGCTTGATATTAATATAGACATTTCGAACTTTGGGTTCAAAATATTCTCTATGTAGTGCTGATGGGGACATCGACGGGCAAAAATACTATATCATTTTTTATATTAATTCAAAGAAAGTCAAATATGTGTGAAAATTGTTTACAACATGTTATTTGAATCTGAAGAAATATGAAACTGATTCTTCCATTCACAAAAACATGCTTGATATTAAAAACTATGCTGAAAAACATTCATGAAAAGGAATTTTTAGTTTTAAAGCTTTTATCAAAATATAATCTTGTCTTCTTGAAAACCCCGTCCCCTCGTAAGTGTTTTTCACTCATATCGTATTCGAATTTTACATTAATATCTCTACTGATAAACATTTTCATTACGAGATTCTATATGGTTAGGGTGTGTCACTCCGATTATGAATACTTAAAAGAATAATGGACTCGCCCAACCGTCACCTGTTATCTGTTGTTATATATACATGTTACAACTACACACAGACTAAGATTTATTCAATGCTGCTATTTACAATTCTTTTTTTATCTAATTGTTTACAACAGCCAAGATAATGTATGATGTCCGCGATAGCACTGGAAATTCCAGGTGAAAATGCATAAAGCTTTGTTTTCACATGTAAAAAAACACACGACACATTGACGGGTTGTGGCACAGTGCTGTTCTTGTCTGATTGCTCTCAGCACGCCAGACAATGATCACCCCGATTTTAATGCATGGTTCGGAAAGTCGTGGATATCAAAATACACACCTTACTAAAAGAGTACGTGCAAAGTTCCGCAAAATGGCAGCTGGTGTTTGTTACCCGACATCAAATTTCATGATCCATTGCATAAAAAATCTTAAACGCATTATCATATTTTGCCATAAAATTCCAACTATTAAGGAAATCCCCATTGACAAACATTTTAACCATTTGATGACTGTCACTGGACCTCATAATGCTGCCTGGATGATTTTATGTCAAAAGACTACTTAGTGATTGTTGATAACATGTTAATATGTCCGGCACAGCGCCTTGGTTCCACTGGTAGAAAAACATGTTAAACGATCAATATCTCCACAACTGGCCCGGCTCTATTATGGAATTTTAAAAGGATTTGCACTTTAAAGAATTTAAAACACTTTTAAAAATGTAAATACCCTTCAAATATGTCCGCAATGATAAAAAGTTTAATAACCTATTCTCTAATTTAGAACATATCGTCAACAATAACTTACCCTCAGAGCAGTACTATATGTAAGGTAGTTAGCTTATATGCTATCTGCAAGGTAGTAATGTTTATACTGTAAGTAAGGTAGTAATATATACTTTTTGCAAGGTAGCAAATTTAATCAATTTCATAAAAATGTTTAATTCCATGATATAGTAATCTACAGTGAAAGCGAACTCAAAGCGACCACAAAGTTCAATTAGTTATAACTGTAATTCGACTGAAATATACAAGGGAACGGGACTAAAAATACAAAAAGTTCTTTATATCCGACAGTTCGTTACGTACGTGAATTAGAAAACAAGTTTCTGGAAAACATAAATATGTGAGATTCTATTTCTTCGTCTGTGCTATGGCAGTTTGTCTGTATTGGGTACAAAATATATAAAGCAAAGAACAGAAACCATCTCCCTGGCCCAGAACCAACCGCCCACCTCCAAATTGAAAGGTTCTGGAAATGATGAAGCATTTTCTTAAGCGTAATATAGTTTTGTGAGCTAAGATATGTAATTTCTTTTTATCTAAAAAAAAACAATAACAGATAAATAAATTAATTAAAATTGATAAATTTATGAATATATAAATGTTCTGAAGAAATCATTGATGAATGAATATATGTTACAATCGCGGCATTCAGGGACAGCCTTGAGGTGTTGTCATTCTTCACAACACGGAAAGGTCGATGTGATCCTTCACATGCATATAGTGTTTGCATGCCTGTGTGCTCCGTCGATGTAGGGCAGGTGGATTGCATGACGCGGTAGAAGACGAGGACCCCGCCCACTCACTCATTCACTAAAGCGCCTTATTACCCGCCCTTACGAAAACCAAACAAGACTTTCACACATCATCAAGCTTTCGTGGAGTAAGTTACTGATTAGGTTTTTTACTTAAAACATTTACGATAGCTTATGCATTAAACAGTGTGTTTTGTCTCCACACAATAAATTGTTTTGAAGCTGTAAAATTTTATATTTAACCGAGTCATCATTTATCGCCGTATTCTTATCACATCTAAATATTATAACCATAATTACTATTTTAACAACCAAGATCACATGTCCTCATGTAGGTTTTCACATGTTGGAATCTGTACATATTTTGTGATATTAAAGTAAACATTTAGTTTAAGCAGTCAAACAATAATTGCGATCAAATGTAGAAAAAAGATAGCTGCACTATAGGCCCATGTTTCCATATACGCGTATACAAATTGTAATATTACTTACATTTTTCGCAATATCTTCATGATGATGATGATAATAATAATGGGGATGATGATGATGGGGATGATGATGATGATGATGATGATGATGATGCCATCTATGTTGCGCCATATTTCCACGCCAGACAGGGTAAGCTCAAAGCTTTAAACTACAAACAATTTGTTTCCTTACTGTGCCCAAACAAACGTGGACTGCGATCGTGTTATCATTCGGTATGAAGCATTCTTTGAATTTATAGAAATGACATGAGTGCCAGGCAAGGGAACATCAAGTACCATCTGTAAACGCATGACGTCGTCAAGCGTGGACCAGCCGGCCAGGCGCTATAACCAATCGATCGCTGAATCGGTTGGATTCAATGCTGCAGTTTTAGTGAGCGAGCAGTTTGCGTGCGCTGGTGTTTGAGTAAAATGGAAAACAATTTATTTCTATATTTCATAAAAAACGTGTTTTTCGGTCAACAGATTATGTAAATGTATTGTGCAAGAAAAGAGTAACAAGAACGATAAAAAAGAGAGAAGGAAATAAAGAAATCAAGGCTCACCCCCTCCTCCTACACCTACCCCATTCCTCACCCTCACCCCCAACAATTATCAAATCATGTCACATTTATATTTGTTACTTATGACAATTTATAGTTTAAGTAGCCCTGAAATAGCATTGATAGTGAAGATTTATATATTTAAGGATGTCATTAATAAACAGATAACTGAATTAATTTAGAAATGTGTTTTGTACAGCTTATTACAGCTGTTGACACAAGGAGCACTAATCGGTGAACCTGTAAGATTGTCAGCGTGTAACAAAGAAGGTATGGTTTTGGAAACATCTGGCATATTTCAAGTTTTTAACTGTTTTCCACAAAACAATACCCCATTTAGACAGCAGGTATTTTAACTGTCATCTGTTCTACCAGATCCCTGACCTATGACCTATCTTGATTTAATATTTATGCGATAACATTAAACATGCTTGTATCTGTAGAAAACAATACTTCTACTTCAAGTGACACTTCCTGGTTTCAGAAACAAGCATAGCGGAACTGTAAGACAATGTGGCTAGCAGACAGGTGGGTAAGACAGATACCTGCACTGTCCAGCGTTCCTTGGCACGTGCACTCACCTGTGTCGTGTAAGTACGATGTAGATAATGTGCCGTATTTGGAACATTAACTTGTCACCGAGATATTTGTTAATTTGTTTCCGAAAGGTCAGCGGATTGGTTTCATGGGTCAAAAGACGGCCTCTGGGGTCCGGTTGACAGAGCGTCTGGCCTGAGAGCGGAACGTCGGCGATTCGATCCCAGTCTGTCAATGCTGTAGTGGATAGAGTGCCCTAAGCGGAAGGTCTGGGTGGACTATTGCTGTAAAACCGGCGAAGTCATCTCTAATGTTTTACTTGTTAAAACTGTTTAATTCGCTAAAATATCAAATTATATTCTCCTTTTTCTTTCACAATATTTCGATAATTTTTAAACGTTAAGAGTAATGATTTATTTGGTGTAGTGAAAAAGAAAGGGTAAGTATCTGTCAAGTTTCTAGGCAGCAGTTCTAGTTTTCAAATTAAAAAAAAAATATGAACGCGCCAATCCTCCCACGATTGTCAAACAGTCGGCCAAAGAGATATTTTTTTAGACCTTCGCGCTTTCACTATATTGTGTAGGAGTCGCCTTTATCACCACGAAGCACATATTGGGGACGCTTGTGTCCTTCGGGCGCCTCTCTTTAGCTAGTTTGTGCCCAGATTCAATTTCATTTTTTTGTTTTGTTGTTAAACGCCGCACTCAGCAATATTCGATTCAATTTCAAAATGAGTGTTAAATTACCAAGCCAAAACGTAATTATTCGCATGTAACGTAATGTAAAAAGTCTGATCTTACGACCACACTAAAGAATGTGA